TTTCTATTTCTTCCTTAATATTTGCTTTACTTTAAAAAATCAGCAATACCACGCAACTGTGCGTAGCAAGATACGATAATGACTCATCAATAGAAATTTTTATACAATTGAAAACTGTATGCTTCATAGTAAGACATTCGCATACTTTGCCTAAAGGAGAAAAAAATAATGAAATTTCCTTATCATTTCGTGAAAAAAGTATAAATAATGACCCTAAATGATGACTGAATCAAACAAGCGAATGAAACGGATAAGATAAATGGGTATACGAGCGATTAAACAGTTGAAACGCGAGCGAGTAGACAAGAAAACAATGGCGATTGTTGGGAAAAGAAGGGGCAGCAGCTGAAAAAAAAATTAAGCAGTAATTTTTAGTTTGCCGGTCAAAAAATGCGATTCGAACTTTTCAAGACAAAATTATTATCAATAATCAAATGAGGAGACATAGAACAGTAACTACAATAATGGTAGAGATGATCGAAGTTGCAAGCACGAGGACCACATAGTTGCAAAAATGCAATTTTATGTCCACAATAAAAAAAAGGATTGTGCGAGGAAGGTGGAGCCATTGCAATCAGTAAATAGCAGTAATAAGTCAATGTATAAAAGGTATAAAATTTGTGCCAAAAGTATGTGAGTGATGAAGAAGGAAGGATGGATGAAATGGAAGGGTAAGCAACGGGACGGATAGCCAGTCAGTGGGCTAGCCAGTCAGTGGGCTAGCCAAGCAGCAAGCCAGTCGGTCCTTTTTGCTTGCCTTACTCAGGCAGTATTTTTTGTGGCAAGTAAAAAAAGGAAATGAATGGGAAATGCAAGTGCAAGCGAGAGATTGCCTAGGCATCAGAGAGCTGCCTAAGCATCAGAGAGATGCCTCTTGCATCAGCACTTAGCAATTGCTATACAACAAGCTTTCTTATGTTTGCAGTGCTTTCACTACTTGTACGAAGCAGCAGCGTGAGAAAAACCAGTACTTTTCTCTTATATCACAATCGATTGATTGATTGATTGATTGATTGATTGATTGACTGATTGACTGATGCTGAATTCCTTCTTAATAACACCGGATTTCTTCTGTAGAATTCGAGTTGGAAATAACCTTATAGAAATTAAAAATGTTCTCTTACTTTATTATTTTGCAATATTTGTGTAGAGCGATTAATAATAAAAATGAGAGGATTTGTACTCAAAGAAGTAAGATAAGATTCCAGTAATGTATCTTAATTTTTTCTCAATGTAATTTTTATTGAAATTTAGGTTAGCATCCTGAATTATGGCTGAGCAACTCTAGTAGTCTGCGAGGAAATTTTATAGTCAAACCTATAAAAAAAGGAAATTGCCGTTTTTGTTGCAGCTATTTCAACGGAAAAGCACTGTGCATGTCAGACAAAATGTTAACCAGTAAGAAGAATATTGACGGTTCTAGTTCGTTATAATTACGTGAGTAGCGTTCGTGATCTGTCACTACTTTTTGATTACCTTTCAGATGCAGTCGATGAAGCGAGCAAAGCATATATGATTGTTGATTTGAACTTTCATCACGAACTTCAGAATAATACTTATAATGTCATGTAAAAAAACTACTTTCACTTCCTTATAAGAGCAAGATATAAATTTCGTATTTCATTGGTGCTCACTTTCCAAAGATTTGCTCTTAATACTAACAAAGGTAGTCTTATTTCAACATTTGAAAAATGGGGTCCTGAAATGATGAATCAAAAATACCTGCTTCGCAATTCCTTCCCTTACTTTTGCTTGCGCGGAAAATTTTTATTAATTTGAGAAACTCGTACTTCGAGTTACTGAAAACAACTATATGAGCATCATATCAAATGATGATTTCTTAGATTGACAATATCGCTTGCGTATTTGGGGATAATTAAAGCTGTTAACGAAGCAAATAAAATTTTTAAAAAAATCAATTATAAAAAAGCAATTAATTCATCTTGAAGTCACATTTGTAGTTCAAAAGTTTTCTTAGTCTAGTTCCACTTACATATAATGAAAATAATAATACAAGATTAGAAGATCTACCTAAAATCTAAATGAAGAAGTCAGCTCAGTTTTAAGTCATTTGGATTATTTTCTCAGTCAATTCCTTAAGTATCTGATCAACTAACTGTGACGTTGTTTTTCACCAGGTAATGAAATAATTTTAAATTATACGTGGACATAACTTCCAATACTTATTAAAATTAGCTATTCTTGCAGAAAACTGTGCTACTTAAAAATGTAACGTAAAATGGCAATGATATACTGTGCTTAAAAGAACATTGTAACGAGATAACAGTTACCTTCATAATGATCAGAAGATAATAAGTAAATACAGTGAATACTTAAAATGCAACTTTTCATTGACTTTAATAAAATGTCAACAAATCTCTGATTTACTGCTGTTAAGGAATATTAAGCAAACATAAGTAGTATATGACAAATCTTTTTTGAGACAATTTTAATAAAGGAAGTTGCTGAAACAATAGATGAAAAAATTAGTAAACTAGTAATAAAATTTTGCTAAACAGTCAAGTCCAATGAAGATATCTTTACAACGACGTCACAATCCCTACATTAATTGTATGTACTTTTTTGCTTTTCTTAATAATTTGGTAATGAAATGTTGAATTTTATTTTAATCTGTCCTCGTTGATTATTACGAAGTAATAAAGTTAGAGCAGCAAAATCAAAATAAATTTTTAGAAGTTTTTTTCATGTCACAAGAGGATTTCATTAGTGGGTTAAATTACTTTTTCATGCAGTAAAAACTTATCATTGTGTTTTAGTAACGCTATGCTAAGCGAACACTTTTTGACTCCAAAGATTAGAAACACTGATTATCAATATTGTAACCTCATTAATTCATCAATGACCTCTAAAAAATAATTAGTTATCAACATTGAAGAAAATAGGCAACAATATCATTATCAATACTATGTATAGAAAATACTATGCATTATCAGTACTATACTAGTTGCCTCAGTTACAAACAAGTGTCCTCTTCAAGCTCAAGTAATAAACTTTCTTAATTTTGATACCATGAAAATCCAATTTTTTAAGATAATTTTGACAGAATATTTCATGTACCGGTGAAAATGCATAGTATTTTCTATACATAGTAAATTAAGTAAATTAGGATGTAACAAATTAAAGCACTGATAATTATCGAGGAAAGGTATGTAAATTGGAGAAATTTAAAGTTTATCAAATTTTTTCAGAAATCTAAATCTGATTTTCAATAGTTTATTTGTTGTTGGTATTCTTTTTTACTGAAAAAAGTGAATGAAGACTTGAAAAATAAAGGGAAAAAGACAAAAATAATGAATAAAGAAATAAGCAACTTTTATTCTGGAGCTTGGAATATAAGTATGAAGAAACTGGCAGCTTCTTTGTTTCAAATAACTAACAGATTATTAAAGATTACTAAAAGCGTAAATTCATTTTTTTAACGCAATAAAATATGAAAATAATGGTAAGAAATATCAGCAAGGATGCAATAATCAAAATACTTTAGGCTTCTTGAAGCTACAAGAGAACAATTATTGCAATTAATAAAAAGAACAGATTGAATGTGGTTGCTTCATCTTCTTAATGTTGGTACTGCTGCAAATTGGGGTTATTCAAGTAGTGGTAAGGTTATCAGTGAACAAAAATTTAACGTATTAATGACTACTAGGTGATTAGTTATTGTATCTATGCCTTTTACTGTATGTATAATTGTAGTTGTAATCATAATTGTATATTAAAAGGAGTACGTTCTTAGTAGATTAAATTAAGCTCAACAGCCTATCATTTTTTCTTAGCCCACGAAAAATTCATAGTTTTAAAATTTTGTTACTGTTTTAATTTTTGCTAACTATCACATGCATGGCTCAACAGATTATCAATTTAAAACAATTACAAGTACTGATGTGCACAACAAAATTTAATTACTTGATAAATTGACTAGTTATTATTACTTTATTACTTTATCACTCCATGAGACGAATCGGCAACGTCAAATCAGTTCATCATACAAGAATAAATCCATTTTGAATTGATTCAAAAAAAAGTCTGTTATTATTACTGCTCAATTAGTGATTTTTGAAACTATTCCTGCAATATACTCATTATTTTCTTTCACGCAATTTTTTATTCTAACTCTTTTTCTTGTTTTTCAATCACTTCAATCACACTATGCCTTTTAACATTTTAGCATTTCATATTACTTTTCATAGAACTGCCAACAAATTTATCTCACAAAATGAAATTGTTATAAAGATAATATGACATCTGAGCAGGAATCATAATCACTTAAACGTGTCAGTATTCATCAGAATGTTCATCCTAATAGCCATTAGACTGCAGTGTCCTATAATATTGATTTACATTATGTACAAACAGTACTGAATCGATACTTCGGCCACATTTTTATGTAAAAAAAAGTACTACAACCTCGCTTGACATATAATTTTTATATTAAATTCTCATATTTTTTATGATTCAAGTTTAACAAAAATGACCATAGATTGCCCGACATCTTTAATTTCATTTTCAATAAAGTTTAAGACCTTTAACATTTCATTCTATTGTAGAAAATTCTTGCAATGAATTTATGATATTTTTTCGAATATTTAAAGACTTCTGATTCCAAAACTGGTCTCATTTTTCTGGCAGTTCTTTTGTTGCCTGCATTTCCAATCACTATTTATTTTATGCTGTCAAAAGCAAGGCAAATATTTTTAGGAGATCAGGAATAATTTCGACGCGGTTTAGTCTATCATAGACTTTGGAACATTTCAGGTTATTTCGAGAATCTTTCTCCTTTCACTCTTGCAATAAATTAATGAAAAATATTACTTATTGATGCAATTTATAGTTATTTCACGTTTTAGACAGCCAAAATTTTCTTTTTCTTCCTAATATAGCTGAAAATTTTTTTAGCGCTTATTTTTGAATTAATTCGATTTCAGTGTTTCTTTTTTAAAGATCCATTTGTAGTTCTAAAGCTGGAAACTTTTTCCAAAAACATGCCAAGATTTCTGAACAGTTTATTTCGATATCACAAAAAATACAAATTTGATACCAGAGACAGTGATGCTACCAAAATGCATAATACAATTGCTTGTTTGAAACAAAAAATCGCTGATGCGAATTTGAGGTTTGTTTATAATTAGAGTTTGAACTCAAATTTATCATTGTAGACCACGTAACTTATAGATGAATTTACATTAATTCACAAATGTTTTGTTTTCAGTGATATTAGTTCCGAATCAAGGCTACGTTTAATGTGTAGTAATGCAACTTTCCTTGTAGTTTTGCAACAAAATATTTGACAATGTTCAATTTATGAAATAACTACCTAGTACCTTTAGCACTTGTAACCAAAATTAATTTTTAAGGTCTACAAAAAATCACAAAATCATTGATAGTTTAAGTCAGCGAATACGCAGTTTATGTTATGAGTTGTATGAAATGAGGCGTTTGGAAGAACGAAGCAGTATGAGTAAGTAAGTAATGAAAAATAGTGAAAATAAACTTCTATAAGAAGTCATTCACCTAAGTAACTTTTACTCATTCCTGTTGAAGACGTGAAACAATCACGTTGGAAATTAATGCTGTCAATGGCCTTTTTAGGTAATTTAAAATTTAAAAATATCTTCCAGGTTTTGGGAATGTTAAAATATAAAATTCTCCTCTGCACTTTATCGATTGTAATTTTCTATGAACATCAGAATTGTTTAATCAATAGAAATTTCTCTGAGCAATTATTCGATGCATTAATTTTTTACCAAAGGAAATTTATCTGATACTTAAATATCTTTCATAGCATTTCATCGACATCTATTGATACCGACTGCATTATTGATTTGCAAAATGACTTACTGATAACGGAAGATAAAATTCAGCATTTGCAGACTTCATTATTGGAGGTGAAAGTTATTTTCACTTCAAACTCTTAAAATTAAGATTGAAATTTCGCTCTCCAAAAATGTTAGCCGAGGATAACATAGTTTATAGAACAGAGTAATGGTGATTCATTATCGTCAACTGTACAACGATTTAGGGACAGAAAATTTTTTAGGTTTTAAGATTATTTTCTGGTTCTTCATATTGAAAAAATGTAATAAAGAATTGTACGTCGTGCACAATCCTTACAAATCCCCTAGACCTTGGTTGCTGTTTACTTTTGTTGTGGTGTGAATGAGTATAATATATCATCACTATAGAGCGAGCAGCAGTCCCGTGAGCTACATGAACAGTTAATTCTAGCCAATCGGAAAATGGAGCAAAGTGAGAAGTATCGGATGCAGTTACAAATTCTTTCAAATAAGGCCGAAATGGTTGCTGTATGCTACCGAATGATGGCAAAAGAGAGGAACTGGATTGATGGCACTCTTGAAATGATGCAGAATATTGAAAACACACATAGGGCTAGTGAGTTTAGATTAAGTAGTAAGCAGTGTTATTCTGCAAATTCTTCTCCAGCTTAAATTGAATTGAAAAATTTTTTAATTTCTAGATTATAATTTGGAAACAGCACTTTTGCTTCGTTTCAGCGTTATGTGATTTATTTAAACAACTTTTAGAATTTCTTGACTTATTTAATAGAACCAAAAAACAGTATTTTTATAAGTACCTGTTTGTCTGATTTGTAGTATATTATCTAATGTATAGCAAATTTAAATAAGTTCAAAATTTTCGGTTTGAAACTATTTTTTGCTGTGTTGCTATTTATCAGATTTATCATTGTGCACCTAAGTTGATTGATGAAAATGGGCATAAAAATCTAGAAAAGTGACTTTTTTGCTCCTGCGACTTCAGAGAAAGATTTCGTTTTGAAAACGTTTTAGAAAAGTTTGATTTGAAGTCCACTTAAAAAATGCCGTAATTAGGAAGTGAAATAGGGAAAATTGATAAACTTTTGTTATCTCAATGGTTACGATCCATCTTTGGATAATGCCTGTGAATTTTGCTATTCATCAGTAAAGAAACTGAAAACTTTAAAGATGTTCGTTCAAAAGCGACTCTATGATTTGAATGTTTGATTTTGTGAAAAAGCAAATAAAACTGATTTTCTAAATTTGTAAATATGCAAATTTCATGCATTCCAGATGAAAATATAATTCTTAATTCCTGCTTAGTCAAGATGAAATATTTCGTCAATTATAACTGAATTTTGCAAGCATCTGCTGTTCACAAACAATAACTTCAAATCAAGATTCTTCTTTGCTTTTTTAAAACATATTGTATCTCAACGATTCAACCATGGATCAAGATTCTATATTAACGTAAATTAACCAATCCATGCATTTCGCAATAGGGAATTTACCACCCGTTCACTCATATGTTTTTTGGCCAACGAATATGGCGATCGAGCGAAGTACCATCGAAGTGGCATACCGTCATCAGTACTTCCCTCGTCACGAAATTGATTGAATCCATTTGGTACCTGAATTATTTACGCAATTTATTTAATATTAGCTTGCTAAATCCATCAACTGGTTCAATCTAAACCTTTCACTCAGAACTCAAACGAAATTCCAATCCATAAACTATCAGTGATGCACAAAATGCAAAAATTTTCTGCATTCATATTCCTAATTACTAAGACGTTTTTCAAACTCGAAACATTGTTTATATTAATGTTATAAGCAAGGTTCAGCAACTGTATCAATTTCGTATTAAGTACTGAAAATAACTTAGTCACTTCTTAATAGAGCTTAACGCAAATCAAGCAAGTTAATCGTGTAATTATTACATCAAAATCAAGTGTTGGCTTACTTGCATAATTTTTCTTTTCAGAAATACATAAAATTCTGTTGCTATATCTCTCAGTAATGTCCATATTATGCTATTAAGTCAAAAAAATTTGATTAATAATGCAGTGCAAAAAATTTATACAAACTCACTGTGGCTGTTGCGCAGTTTATAACTATCGAAAAGAACAAGACAAAAAAATAGATGCAAATTGTTTGAAGTATCAATTTTGACATTTTACCAGCTTATAGATTTGCAGTTAGTACTTTGATAGCAGTAATAATCGTGACAACTGCTGAGATCACCAAATTTTCTGCAAATTTATACTTGACTGAAGACACATGGCCCATTGATCAATTTGCAACTATGCAACAATAAGTGCATGTTTAATTAGTAAATTAAAAATACTCTTATCAATCAAATATGCAGAAACTTTAATCTATTTTTCGATAATAATATTACTTGCAAATTTAGGAAAAAATGCATAAATAATTTTTTAAAGTACTGACAACGACTCACTATGCCATCATAACTTACTAAATAGATGACAAAAAGAAGATGAAAGCACAGTAATGCATTAATTAAATGTCAAATCTATTATATGTTAATTAAAAAATTTACTAAATGTGATGTAATTATTTTAAACGTAGTGATTATTGCCTGAGTTGTTTACTAAATTTGAATTTCAAGAAATTCTTGATCCTAAACAATTTTAAAGTTTGCCTTTAAAAAGAAACAAAATTAGCACATATGCATTACAAACTTTCAATTACTTAAAAAAATAGTAATGCAAAATTTGAATGCAAAGCAATAAAAGTGAAAAAGAAATTAAAGCTGTATTGAAAAAAAAGTGATAAATTTATTTTTTATTAATATTTTTGCTAAACAGCTTAAATAACAATGGAATCAATTATATTTTGTATAGTTTTCTTGCTGCTGCTAAAACCACTACGAATGTTAATTGAAATAAAAATCTTGCTTAAATAACAAAATCAAAACTATGGGTGTGTTTATGAGAAAGAGCGAGAGAAAATTAATGTAATAACTTGGTGCTTGAGAGACATTTATTGTTTTTTGCCTTTCTAAACAAAAATACTATGAAAAGATGTAAAAAATGTGATAAAAATTAGTTAAATCTATTTATGAGAATTTTGAAAAGAGCTGGCTAAGTAATTGAAAAGAGCTGGTTAAGCAATCTAAGAATTTTAGATAAATTACTCAAAAATAAAAGTAATGACGCTATGAAGAAACTTAAATGAAAATAGTTGTAAAAACTTCTCATTATTTCTTTCGTCTAATTCTTTGATATCTGAAAAGAAATTTGTGTAAGCTGAAGTTCATTAGCTCAACGAAAGTATATTTCCCACTTATTGCCAAGATCAATTAAAAATCTTATTTATTTGTGTTATTTGGAAGCTATTTATAATTTCTATATCAACATATATTGAATATCCTAGTAATTTTCAATTTTAGCTTTTATTTTTGAAATACTTTGTAAAGTTTGAATACTTCAATAAAAATTAGGTCAAATTCGAATTTGTCTGTTTAAAAATAATAATTATAATTTTTTGGTTTAATTATACAAAATAAATATAATAAATATCTCTTTTAAATATTATTTAATTTATTCGAATGAATGAAGAAAAAAAAGATCATAAACAGCAAAGAGCTTAAGAACAAAGCTTAGGATAAAGATGTAGCAGAAAACAAATATTCATGAAAGTTAAAACTGTATTGATGAAGTGAAACAAAACGTAGTTCGTACTTGAATTTCTAACAATTCCATATGTATAACCTTTAAAAGATTAAATTAGATTGCAAACTTTCGTGAATGACTAGCTATTTTAATATGCTTCAAAGTTAGTCAAAAGTCGTTTATTATCAGACATAATTATGATTACATAGTGAAAGTAACTTCATCTGTATTCATTGACTCATTGATGAGATTTTGAATTAGGAAGCAGTGTACTGAATCATGTTTTACAGCTTATGGAAAGATCTTTAAAGAATATGAATAATATAAGGATAAAAAATTTCACTTTTTTATAAATTATAAATATAGCAAATTGCAAGAATTTTTCGCTCAATCTGTAGAAATATTTCTTAGAATAAGTATATGTCTGATATGTGTTCATTGTTATAATAATCCTTTTATCAACAATAGTATGGAAAACTTTAGGTCAAACTTAAATTCTTGACAGTATAAAAAGCGTTGCTAATAGAGTGACATTGAATTATTTTAATAATAAATATCTTCTGCATACTCGAATTTTCATAATTCAAATAAACACTAAACGTTAAAAGGGAATACATGGCTTTTGGTTTGTTTTCGCAAATAATTTAGAAGCTAAGAGATCAGGAAATTACCCTTACAATACTTTACCTTATTATAGCTCTAATGCACCATTTGAAAGGTATCTATCTAATTAAGATTAGCAAAAACATTACCATGATCATTTTATCTTCAGCTAAACAGACTGTGACATTAAAACTTAGACTTGAGAAAGTTTGCTGTAAATGAGATTGTTAGAAGAGAAAATTTTACACGTGAGCAATATTTTGTTTTTGCCTCTGATGGCAAGATGAAAATCTCTAAAATTATCATATTTTCAAGCCGATAAAGGATCTTTCAGTGAAATGGTTGAATATTATCATCACTACTGCAAATGCAAAATTAAACATCATTTGATGACTTCTGGAAGTAACGAAGTTTTCGAAGAAAATAAATCGATTTGATTTAATGACTTTTGTCATTTAGAACAATTTCTTTGAATTTTTCCATGTGACACTTTACTTACTATAAGGTAGTTTATAACGTAATAAAAATAAACTGAGTTATTCAGAAAATTAATCAAACTTTGAATAGTCTTAAAATATTTAAGCCATTGTTAACTCAGAAATTTTTATTCAGTTTTACAGATTTGGTATGTTTAATTTTTTTGAATTTTGTGCTGGCTTACGAATAGTGCATGTATTTTCAATTTGACATAGTTATTTTTTGCTGATTGCTGTCTGATAAATATTTTTTATAGAATCCGATTGAATTTACTGATGATAAATTCTGTAATTAGACATTAAAAGAGATGGATGAGTTCGCTTCTCATAAGAGATGCATTCTATTCACAGCTAATATGAATGAGTGTTTTCTGCACATCGCTAGGATGCTATAAAGTGACATTCCTTTTTCAATTACTCACTTATGCAAACTGGAAGATAATTCGTGGTTATCTCAATAAATAACTCATGAATGTTTAATAGACTGTTACGGAAAAATTTTAAAAGAGCAGTTCAAAAAGCAGCATTGCAATTCAAATATAATATAGATTCATAATCGTTGCTCATAAAGTGGCTTACAAAACTGAATGATTCAGTGTGCTATTGTAAATACTTTAATCTAATGTTATCCTTTATAAAAAACTATATCTTGGGATTCAATATCATAACTGAAAATGTTTTTCAAATTTGTGAAAATTTATTACGGAAAAATTATTGAATATTTTTTGTAAGCCACTTTTTGAGACATTGTGTTCTCGATATTTTGACTTATTTTAAACAAGATAGAAGTAAAGAGAGTAAAGCAAATATATATATATATATA